GTTATTAGATGAGCATATTATTTCAGATGTTTTCCGTAAATTTTTGTGTTTTTGGTATTATTTTGGAACGAATGATGTCATGGAGGCTGATGAAACCTGTAATTGGATACTATTCGGCGAGGACGGAGTGATACCATCATGATCCAATCACGGTCCTCATGTACTCACAAACTCGTCAGCAAAATGGAGACAGCGCCACAGGTAAATATGATCTCCTTTTACCGACACGCACGCAATGAAATACCCGTTATCAATTTACCTACAGCTGCAGTCAATGCAGATTTGGGCATAAAGGAGGTCGTTTTGTCGTCCATGCAGGAGAGCCCATTTCAAACTGGTTGTTGTCAGAACAGGTCAAACAAGCCAGAATGGCACTAACAAGGCCCACTATGGAGATAGGCCGATTGACTCAAATAAAAGAGACTCTAGAAGAGTTGGCAAGCTTAGCATTTGTCATCTTCCTCACTCAAATGGAGGTCACAGCCAACAGGCTGGGCAAGGCAAGTAGGGTTGGCTTGATCTGCTTTTCGGAACTTAGTTTTGCTGCCTGTGCGTCTTCAAAAAGCATAATCCAAACAGCATATTCTGCTATTTTAGCTATGCTTTCAGCCAGCATCAGACCCTTGGCTGAGTGTATTTACAGATGTTTCCTCTTCATTTTAAATGATCAACCTCATGACAACCCGTCTTCTCGTCCTCACTTCATATTCTAACTTGTATCCTCATTTAATTTGATGCTCTCGAGGTAGGTTTACAACTCTTTAAAGGGGTTTAGAGAGGCGTAATTACCTTCACCACAGGTTACCCATTTCGTCTGTAGGGCTTCATGATCCTAGATCCTGCCTCACATCGGCAGTTCACTTTTCGCGAACAACTCTGGCATGAGTTTCGTTGAGGGCACCAATGCGAATCAAGCAGGGTTTTAATTTCCCTCTCGCAAATACACTAGCATTGTGCATATTACTCATACCACTGTGGGAAAATTTACCATCAGTTCTTCATTATCTTATGCGACTATTGTGATTATATATGAGCTGTGTACACACATGATGAAACAGTGACTGTTCAATTTTCCCAAATCATATGCGTAAACCTCACTTGCCCAGTGAACTTCACTTGGACTTGTGACAACTTTCATTTCGAAGGAAAAGTTGGTTGGAAGGAATTCATGAGATGGCCTCGTCAGAAACTGAAAGAGAACGTCGCTGACTTGTGCAAACAAGTCCGATGAACATGTGCTAAGCTTTCGTTTGTACCGCCGTGACAGAAATCATCAGAGCAAGAGTCCATACTTTACGAAATAGCACAAAAAATATAGTAAACCAAGAAAAAAGATGCTGGCTGCAGCCCTAGTCGGTTTTTTTCATAGACCTAACATTATGATCTTAATGAGGCATCCCATGATTTAGTTGGCTTCATCAAACTTACTCTACATGCTTTCCGATGAGTCAAGTTGTTTCACGAACCGGAAGTGGATGTGGTGGCAACTGTCACAATAAATCACTAAGGCAGTCTTCGAAACCAGGTTTTTCTTGATACCTTCTCTAAGACTTGTCTCCTAAAGGGTAGTCCACTTCAGGGTAAACAGCAGCTTTGAGTTGTCTGAGTCTCATCAGCATCCACAGCGGGCATCGAACCTGGGAGGTGCAGTGTATAATCTCGACATGTTGCAACTACACCATACTGCAGCGAGGGGCATCATGCATCACCCTAAGTGACCCAGGTTAAGTTCCTTATATCGAAGGTATCAATACCAAGATGGTGTGGATTTTTGTGTGGTCGCAGTCTCCTTTCGTTGTATAGAGATTGTTTGACCTTGTTTTCACAACTTGGTCGTATTGGTAGGAAGACTTAGGTGATCACACCTAGTCCGGAGTCCATTGTATGCAGCATCATTTCCAAAGTCGGACTGTGGACGTGGTACATTCCCAGACGTCTCGCCGGCATCGTCAGTGAGCATTGCCAGTTCAGTACCACAATACAAATCGTCAAAGAAACAAGTGAAGCGGATCCTTTCACCAATTGTCTGTTAAACAGTTGTGGTATCGCTCCTTCTCTCCTGGGCTATTCACCTCTCCTATATCTTCGTATTACAACTTCTTACTTGCTTATTTAAATGTGGTATGGTCTGCCCTTTTGAGCGGCTTTCATGAGAGCTCTCCCCACTCCCTCCCCCTTCTTCACCTTCGTGCTGGGAATGCTGATCAGAAAGCCAATATTGAGTGTGGAGAGTTGTCATGGCAGCCGCTCAAAAGGGCAGAT